GGGCTTCCAAAAATTAATTCAAGTGAAATCTCTTAGCTGTGTGAAAGCGCAAGTCGCGAAAAATTCTTTTATTGAATTTTTAGATGTATTTAACTTAATAAACTATTTTGTTTTGTCTCACGCTTAACGTAAACACTATGCAAACTTTCAGAAACGCTTTATACAAACGCCTTTCAAACGCTGTAGCGTTGCAATTTCCGCTTTATGAACTTTTTATTGACCGTTTCAAAATTTTCTACGAACTTCCACAAAACGCTCATACAAACGTCAAATAAACGTTTATAAAACTTCTCATTTTCGTCAGGGTACTTTACAACATATTCAAAGCTCATCAAAATCAGAGAGGGACACTTGCGTCACTTCCTTTGTTAGTGCAATCACTGCAAAATTGTCATTCATGATGCCATTTTTGTGCAATATTTTCACAAATGTGCCTATTAGGGTAATTAGGTAATTAAGTTCAGTGGTCTCGCGGTCTGAATGCGGAAGTTGAAAACATGGAGATCCTGATGCGAGTTTGAATCCATCTACCACTTTAGAATTTTTTCTAGGTCAGTTTTCCGATCGAGTTTATCGGAAGAAAACCAACTGAATCGAGTTTGCATAATTATATATTAATTTTTATATATGTATATAAAATGATTGATTATTAAATGTATGATTATATATATAAAATTTTTGGTGGAAAATGTCCTACACATATCCTGTAAAAATCTTTAGAATGTCTCACGTTAATATACTGAGAATATTTCTAAGTATAGCATGAGACGCTCATTTGCTAATCCTCAGGACATCCACAATAGATTTCGGGATTAAAACGGAATGTTTACAGAATATCCCGTTTTCCATGTGGGATGTCTTCTGGATGTTCAGAGGATGTCCATGTGCTATCTGAGCAGTAACCTAACTTATCGTTTTTTTTTATTACTTTTTTTTATTACTTTCTCTGATAAAAAATGTTTACCAGCGATATTGTTTAAATATGACTAAGTTTTTTTTATTTTTTAGGCATGATTACCGATATTCTGTTGAGCCTAGACGACAAATATTTATATCTGTCTAACTGGTTACATGGTGACGTTAGACAGTATGACATCTCGAACACAAGAAATCCTAAATTAACGAGTCAGATTTTCTTAGGTGGATCGATATTGAGCGACTCGCACGTGCGTGTTATTCAAGATGAAGAGTTAACTAGTCAACCCAGCCCTGTCTATGTGAAGGGGCGTAGATTGTATGGCGCGCCGCAAATGTTACAGCTAAGTTTAGACGGACACCGTTTGTATGTAACTACATCAATCTTCAAGCCATGGGATAAACAGTTCTATCCCGAACTTCTTCAGTAAGTACGTTCTTTCTTATTTATATTTCTTATTTTTTAAATGTTCCTCTTTTTTCTTTTATGACAAAATCTTTACATATGATCTATATTAATAAATGTTAATGTTTACTTAATAAATGTTCCGCTCTACTTAGATATGGATCGACAATGGTAAAGCTCGATATTGATGTTGAAAAAGGCGGCATGAAGCTTGATCATCAATTTCTTGTTGATTTTGGCATCGATAAAAATGACATACTGCTGGCGCACGAAATGAGGTCGGTACAGAAATATTACACGCATTCATAAAAGAAAATTAAATATTTTTGTTTGTACTTTGTACAAAAAATAGAGATGACCTAAAACGAGACATTACATAAGAATTTCTATCATAAAAAGTGACAACTTCATGTAATCTTCACTTTTTTTGCGAATTTTTTTATTTCAATGTTAATGTGTTTATCTAATCTCGGCGAGATTTAGTGACTTTCTTTTAATTTTCCATTATACTTTTTGTGCTTAGAAATAAAATATATATATATTTTCTTCAAATAATGTTTCTTAATCTTTATATAGATATCCTGGTGGAGATTGTACCTCTGACATATGGATGCCTGAAAAACAATAAATTTTCTAATTGGACAAAAGGTCCTCACATTAAAGATATATTGTCATTTACAATCAGAATTAATAACACAGGAACATATTTTATAATGTCGCAATTTGTACGAATTTTTATTACAATTTCGTAATCACGTACTTAAGAAACGTATTTACTTTTTATTAGAACAAAAAACAATTTTATGAAGATACATAGATATAATAGGTAAATTAGTAGAAACTACTTTCATATTTTTGTTTGCTTTCGTAGTTTATCTTATTAATTTCAGCATTGTTGACACACAAGTATATAGTAGAGGATCAACTTAGAGATTTTATATTTCTATAAATTACATGATATGACGTAGCATGTAATTTTTTTTCCAATCTTACACAAATAAAATGTCTACATCTTTGTAATTATTTGTTGTTTATAAAAAGTTTGTTGAAAAATTCTACATTAAAAATAATTTAAAAATTGTAGAGCGCTGCGTATAAAATTTTTTATGTTCCCAAGAATCATGCCGATTTTTTATTAACAAAATACCATTTACACAAATAATACAGTTAAATTAAAGTTGTCCGTAAGAATAAAGAAATCCTTGTTAAGAAAACGTCACTATTTTTACAATACAGCAAAAAAATGGTCAGCCATAAAATGATCGACCACATCTGACACGTTTTACTACGACTTTTATTATTCTTTGCGTCGGCTGTCGCAAGAAGATTGCTGTCACGCTATATCTTTTTTAATAATAAAAAAAAAATAAAAAACAACAACATGCCGACTCTCAAGAATTAGGTAAATCAAAATAACGCGTGGAAATATATCACAATCACAGTCAAGATCGGAGCTTTGTCAAGATCACGAGATTTTATTAATTTTATTGAAACATTGAAAAGAATCAGATATTATGGTCGAAATGTTTGTTTTTCCACGTTTTACAATACAACTTTCAACATACATTTCTACATTCATATTTTCGGCTTCCACTGGCTTATTTCCACACTTTCTCTTTTGTTCTTCATTTTTGTAATATCAGTTCCTTATTATTTTCCAGAGTAGCTGAAATAAATTTTTGACTTTTTACTCAGAAAAAAGTCTATTCGTTATTTCGTTAATTGAGAGTCTTTGGAACCGAAATTTTCGGAATATGTTGTTCCAAAATGCATGTATGTATGTGTGTATATATGAGTATAGTGTATGTACGTACATACATATGTATACATACATAATATACATACGTAATATACATACATATGTATGACGCGCACACTCACACGCACACACTTCGGAAAGTAAAAGAAACATATGAAAAAATCAAGTCTTTATTCTTTATCTTTGTTAGAAAATGTATTTGTGTACTAATAATTATTTGAAACAAAATAGCTTGATAACATATATGTGCGACCTTAGCGAGAACATTGTGCTAACGTTGGCTATGTTGGAAAGTAATGAATGTTTTTTTTTCGTTCAAATCGTTCAATACTAATGCCCTAAAACTTTGACTCAAGAGAAAACATGGCAAATTTTTAAATTTATTTTGTCCTGGAATTTTTTTAATACATTAAATTCGTGTGTGTGTGTGTGTGTGTGTGTGTGTGTGTGTGTGTGTGTGTGTGTGTAAACGCGCGCGCGGATTTTAAGTGTAATTTACGAATTCCATAAAATTTAACAATGATTTAGTAGTTTCTCTTTAAGTCATAGATATTTTTATGTTATTATAAAATAATGCTGCATGCTTTCAGTCATTGAATTATTTAACAAGTGTGTGTCGATGTACATATGTGTGACATCAATTTACAGATCTAAAATTATAACGTTATATTTCTCTCATTACATTTATTCACAAGAGAATGAAACGCAAACTGATTTGAATGTTTCGTTAAAATGTCAAGCATGTTTTTTGTAATATTAGCACTTAATTGCATTAGCCATTGCGTGATCGATGGCGTGCGATGGCATCGTTATTGAGACGCTCATCGATCTTTTCGCAACACTATACTGTTAGCAAAAAGATATTATATTTCCGATTCTATATTTTTCTCAAAATTCGTGACTCTCAAAAAGATATTTTTCTTCGAGTGGTTACGTGTTCTACATATTTGACTTTTTCCTTAAAAAAGAAAAAAAGAAAAAAACTCATTTCATTCATGTGCATAATAAATTGCATACCAGTCTCGTTTCTGAGACAAATATAGGATCATCGCGCACTCAATAGGTTTTCGGTTGTCGCACCGGAGAGATCAATCCGCGATCAATCTGCAAAAACCAACTTGTTTCTATTGACTTATTTCCCGAATGACGTTTGTTTTTGCCGAACACTCTGCCATCTGGTATCATGCAGAGCATTAACTCCTACGGCGACCTAAAGCGACGTAGGATACGACGACGTAGGTACGCTAGAGCTTCAGTACCGTACGAGACGAATGACGAGCCAATAAAGCGCGTGCGCGCTAGTTGTCGTTCGTTCAGACCCATGGTGTCCAGCCCTCGTATAACAGGGCCAAATTGTCAGTGCTTTGCGCTTCACGTATCACGTACTCCACCTGTTCAGCCGTGGTGTATTTGCGCGACGGTTGTGGATCGCGGCCTTCTAACTTCATACGTACACGACGCCACACGTTCAGTGCATAAGCGTTTCGCTCTTGCACAGCTAGAAAATCGAGAAAAAAGAAAGAAAAGTAATTGAGATTGAAACAAACAATATTGGAGAAAGTACAGTTAGTGGATTTCCGGACTGCTTACCTTTACCCGTAGTTGGATCTCTAGTCAATGGTATTCCTTTCCTCGGACTTAGACATACGCTGTCTTGCCGCACTAATTTACCTTTTCTCTTCGACAGACTGTCTGTGTCTTCCATCGAATTCCATTTGCTCTCATTTGCGAACTCTAACAATTGATTATACAGGCTGGGTACTGTAATCGCCATTGTCTCTAACTCATTCTTAATTGCCATACCGCGATTTGGATCGAAATTTTCAGACTCCAATTCCTTCACTATCGTCGATATATTTTCCGTGAAGGAACGATAAGTGGACAGGAAATCCTGCAAACCGACTATGTTCTCGTGTTTAGCCATCGTCTTCAGCAACGTTCTAACATCCGACATCAAACGGTGATGTTCTGCGAGCACATTCTGCAAATTCTCTACTCGCTTCCTTAAGTATTCTTCAGCCGTAAACAATGCTTCTTGCTTCTCCTGTAACTTCTTCTGGGTGTCGACTATTGCTTCTGATACGATTTTTTCGGCTTGCTTCAACCACGTCGCGTCTACGTTGTTTTCTAGCTGCAACAGCTGTACAAGGCTTTCTTCAATCATAGTAACGGTAATATTGAGGTTGAGCGTCAACATGCAGCTCTCTTCCCAGTGTTTGATCAACTTGATGAAAGTCGCGTCATGTGTTGTGCTCTCCGATGTTCTGGTTCTCAAAGCCTCGTAATGTAGTATCGCATTGCACGTGTTCACCACCATTATCGCTAAATTATGTTGCTCGGACAACTTTTTGCACGATGACAACACTGCGTTATCAAACGCTGACATAATTTCACCTAATGCTGGATTGGCACCAGCAGCCCATTTTAAACGTTGTACAGCACTCGAAACAAGATTTTGTTGTTGCTCACGAGCGTCACATACTCGCAACTGTAAAGTCGACAGTGTTGTCGCCATTTTTCGTAATTCCAGCATAAACGTAGACCGATCTAAAATAAAAGATTATTTTAAACTCAAAAATAGGGATTATATCTTTCAATTTTAATTAAACAATAAAATAATCTAAGATATATAATTTCTTGTACATGTACTCACTCAAAGGATTAATTAGATTCATATTGGGCCTCAGCATTATAATATCTTCGTACAACCAATGATGAGCCGTCAACTGAAGTTGAAGTCTCTGCAAACTAGCTCTAGCCACCTCGACACTTTTTTGTGCCAATCTGGCACTCTGCTTGCGACGCCAAGTGCTTTCTAGAGTGTTGTTTAACGCGCTTGCTTGTGCAAAGGCTGAAGCTGAAAACAATCCTCTTCTCAAGCACAAATCTACCATTTTTCGACACAATTCCTCTAATGAGACTTTATTTTCTGCACCGATATCTCTTTGTTCGATCTCGGTGGTTACATTCAGGCCCATCCGTTGCAATAGAAAGCACAAAGCAATCGCCAAAGTTTGTGACGTCACTCCGAGCAATTGTCTTGAGACGTAATCGGCTGTAAACGATCGGATAGGTTTGTTAAGTTGGTCGTCGTCGTATACGTTTGCTAATCCGCCTTTAAACGCGGTAGCAATGTCCCTGCACATCATGAAGAAGTCTTGCATAGTCTGCAATCTCTTGATCAGGAATATATTTTCGAGGATTTGTCGAGCTTCTTTATTGAAAATAGGCGCGTATTGTTGAAGACTAGCCTCACGTATTTGATCAATTTTTTTCCAATTTACCGGAAAGTCTAACAAACTCAAAGTGGCCACCAAGTTATTACCTTCCATTTGCAATTTCTCGAACAGACCGTTAAAACCCATCAGCAACATCTCACCCGGTGTTAAAGTCTCCTCTTGATTTAAATCTTGAGCTTCGGCGGGTCGCGATACTAACGCGTCGAATCGTAATCTTATGTTAGCCACTATATTTTGCACTACTGAATGTGGACTTTCCATTTCCATTACGGTGAATCGGAGATGCATCTCAAGTTGCGTCAAAATATCATTGAGAGATATCCCGGTTAGTATTATAATCTCACTGAACTCGTTTATCATTTGCATGACACTCGGCTCCTCTGTAATAATGGTCTTCATCGCTTCTGGTAATATAATAGTCTGGAAATTATAGTTGAGATCTTGCAAACCCTTATAGATGCAGTCAGCACTCCTAAGACATTTTAGCACTAACGAGATTTTAGAATCATTGTTTGTCTTGTGATTCTCCGGTATTAGTGTAATCAGTTCGGCGATGAGCGACGACGTCAGACGCATGTCGTCTAGAAACCAATCTCCTTCGCGAGACGTGAGATCTACAAGACAATCTCCAGCGCTTTTGGCGGCACCTTCCATTATCAAATATCGTTTATTTAATGTACACAACGCAGTAATATTAACGCATTCGAGTGCTCTTTCCGCACCCTTCTCTCGTCGCAGAAAGTGCGTAATCTGAACTCTCGATTCAGTGTACGCCTTCTCAATTCTATTGGCAGCTTCTGGTAAACCTTCGGCTACCATCCTTTCATAAGTTTTCTTGAATCTTTCGTTTGATGTTTTTAAAATTGTTTGCATCTTATATGAAAAAGTTAGTATATGCTGGACTTGTGGATTACTTGGATTGATCGACTCCAAACATGCTTTGAGTTGCGCCATAATTTCGTGACAGGTTTCGACAGTACCAGAAATCAACATCTTGTTGGCCCAAGTATGATAAAGCACGGTACGATGTTGAGATAAAATGCTGAGAGGATATAAGCTGCAAATGGCAGAATACTGGCTTAATAGATCTAAGCAATTGCGTATATAAACAGATTGCTGACTGGCTAACTGCTTTAGTTCTTTTTCTGACTGCTCGCACTGTAATATCATCTGACTTTGCCCAGCATTTTGTAGAAATTCTTTTACGAGATCAAATATCACGTGGTCCTCTATACTTGTTCCTGTTCCTAAATCCTCTAGCCAATTTCCAAGTTGAGGTCCTCGTACTGAGGCAAGAGCAATCTGAAATAATAAAATAAAAACGATAATATAGTATTGATAATAATAATAATTATAATAATAATAATAATTTTGATAACAATTAATGAAGAGATTCAACTTTAGAAGTTTAAAACTTAACAATAATTTGAACGGTCATTGAGTCTTACGTTGGATGTTCATTGCGAAATGAACATGCATATATATATATATATATATATATATACACAAGGTATATATACATATATACAGGGTGTCCCAGAATTGGTATAACATTTCTCGTTGACAGGTAGAAGAAGTAAAATTGAGCCGATAAGTCCTATACCATTTTGCTAGATTCGCAATAGTTACCGAGATCTTAACTAAAAAAGATCGGCGAATAAGCATGCATCGAGCTGTCTTACGCGCGTAAGACAGCCCGGCGCGCTTCGCGCGCTTACGGTGTTACCCGTAACAACATATGGGAAGAGCTAATATAACAGCATATACTATAACATATACATATGAAAATGTAATCGTGCGAAGCGCGCTGGGTTGTCCTACGCGCGTAAGAGCCCGATGCACGCTTATTCGCGGATCTTTGTTAATTAAGATCTCGGTAACTATTGCGAATCTAGCAAAATGGTATAGAACTTATCGACTCAGTTTTACTCTTTCTACCTGTCTACGAGAGATATTACACCAATTCTGGGACACTCTGTATATACAAGATGAAGAAAAAGTATCGGAACACCTGAATATCTCAGAAAATATAAGTTTTACAGAAAAGTGTTTCAGACAAAAGTTGTAAAGTTCAAAAGAATCTATTTACTGATTGTATCACTATGACCTTGGATGGCGCCGCCAAGGTCAAGTCACATTGATTTTTTTTAATGGAACTCCCTATTTGTTATTGCAAATTCTTATAGCTTAATTCAAGAGCTTTCCAAAAAACACTATAATAAAGGTTATTTTCATTAAGTTTTTTTGACTTATGAGAGTTGAATATTAGAGTATTGCCGGTAGCATTATCTATTGACGTTATCATTCATTTTGAATGTTGCTTTATCCAAAAAAAAACTATGTTGAATAAGAAGTTAGTTCTTTGTCATTTCTTCTTCTTTTTTGCTTAAATGGCGCAAAGCCCCTTCGCGAGAGGAGCACGAGCCAGTCTGAAGTCTTTATATTCTCAGAACAAATGGGAGAGAGGGGAATGTGCAGTTTACTACTATCACATGATACACGGCCGTCTTTCACAATGAGCGTGTTCATCTGTGTCGGGGTCGTGCTCGAAGTGTTGTGACTATGATCGCTTTGTGGGAGGAGAATTAATGCGGGATTACACCTGAATTAATTTTTGGAGGTCCAATTTAGTTCGCCGATCAACCGATAAACTTAGTTGAAAAAGACCGGAAAAAATCTTTAGGTGGTGAGCGGATTCGAACTCGGGATCTTTGGGTTCGCAACCCCTGCACTCAGACCGCGAGACCACTGGGCCGGTCAGATCAGGTTCTTTGTCAATTCTCTGCATCATGAACTCACAAAATTCGTTTCAGTCAAAATCATCTTCGTAGAAAAAGTACTGGCAGTACTCTAATATTCACCCTTTATAACTCAAAAAGTACTTAATGAAAATAACCTTTATTATAGTGTTTTTGGAAAGCTCTTGAATTAAGCTATAAGAATTTGCAATAACAAATAAGGAGTTCCATTAAAAAAAATCTATGTGACCTTGATCTGATCTTGGCGGCGCCATCCAAGGTCACAGTGATACACAATCACTAAATAGATTCTTTTAAACCCTACAATTTTTGTCTGAAACACTTTTCTGTTTATATTTAAATTTATATTTCCTGAGATATTCAAGTGTTCCGGTACTTTTTCCTCACTTTGTATATAATATTTGATATAATATTATATTTTGATATAATATATCATACAATATAGATAGATTAATACTTGAAAAACTTTAACTGAATAATAAAAGTAAAAGTATACTAACATCAATTTTATTTTTCATTATTTGGTTATTACTTTTCTATCCTATTACTTCTTTGATCGAATATATGTGCGTATATGTGTATATGTACACAGCGCGTCAGGAATTCGAAGAGTAGGCGCGGGGATCGGAGGGCACGATTCGTACGGCGCTTGTTGGCGAGCAACCGCCCCGCTTGCCTTCCGATCCCGCGCCTACTCTTCGAATTCCTGACGCGCTGTGTACATATAGGGGAGTACATTATATCATGCCGCGTCAGAGGAAGTATTTCTCGGAAATTTCTCCTCCGGCTGCCTCTATTATCGCGCGCCGTTCTTCTTCGATCTCGGGCCGCTGGCAGAGATCGAAGGAGAACGGCGCGTGGTAGTAGGGGCAGTCGGAACAGAAATTTCCGAGAAATACTTCCTTTGACGCGGCACGATATAGTGCACTCCTCTGTACACATATACATGTATACATATAAAAACAAACTATTTAGAAAAAAACATTTTACATCTAGAAAGTAGAAAAAAAGAAGATTTACCAGCATACGAAGTTATACAAAAACTTACGTTATGCATATTAATTTGTTTCTCACATTCTTCTATTTTCTCTTTCAAACTAGCTTTTGTTTTCTCATGAGCATCTCGTGCACGTTTAAACGAATTGTACCGTTTTACAACTGAATACAAGGCGTGATTTCGACCCATTGCTTGCGCCTCTTTCACCAATGCGAGTTGCTGATGTCGATCCTGCAGTAAATCCTGACACTGACGTGAAGCTTCAGTCGCCTCAATCCAACAAATCAAATGATGACACAGTAGGGGAAAAGTGTTAGCTAACTCTTCTCTGTGTAATTTTCCATGTAAAGAAATATATAAATATATTATTAATACAAAGTATATGTGTGTGTGTGTGTGTGTGTATTGTTAATATAAAAGCTAACAAGAGAGACAAATTTATATTAATCTTTGATCGCGCTTGCGTATTTTTTATTTCTATAATAAATAAAATATATGTTGATGTTGTTTTGAATCAAGTTCTTAACGGAATTTCAAAATCTCTCGGTTTTAATCGGGCAAGTTTGAACCATTTGCTGGGTGTTATGTAATAATTGAAATGCAATGTCTTTTTTCCAAACGTTTCGGTTTATATTAAACCTTCCTCAGTAGATTACTATGTATAAAGTGTATGTTTGTGTTTACATTGAATTGAATCTATTATAAGTTGACAATTATAAAAACATTTGAGCGTGTACTTTTAGTAGAACAATCCCTCCTGATTTTTAAGATGACGAAGAGTTGTTGTGTCAAGTGAAATTAAAAGTTAGTCGATGTATGTCAGTTGTAAAATTGAATGTAATAGTCGATGTGTGACTGTGTGTGTCAAAAGTTTCGTCATTACTGTGTCAGGAAGGTTTACAGAGTGAATACATTTATATTTTGATAGAATGACATCTACACTGATATGAGCACAACGTGCTCATATTAATTCTCTTTTAATTTATCTAGAATCGGTAAGTATATGTTGTCTAACATTTTGATATCTTGCATTATGTTGATACTACTATTATGTATTTTAATTTGTAACATCTCTGAAACTAATCGTTTGTAATAATTAAGTTCTGTGTCAAGTATATTAATGAAGTTCCAATTAAAAGAATGTTCTGTGTTGAGTACGTGTTCTGTTAATACTGAAGTTTGTTGATTGTTTTTTACATAGTGCATGTGTTCTTTAATTCGTGTTTGTATTTATCTTTTGGTTTGTCCGGTGTAATTAGCTTCACATGTGTTACATAAGATATATACTACGTTTTTCTTTTTGTTTCGAAGTAAATGATCTTTATGCGTTTTGAATTTGTTCAATTGGTTTAAATTTCTGTAGGAGAGTCGATATTGTTTGTCATTTATGTCAATGTTTAAAAAGAAGAAGTTTGGAAAAAAAAACATTGCATTTCAATTATTGCATAACACCCAGCAAAAAGTTCGAACTTGTCCGACTAAAACTAAGAAATAAATAAAATGTTTAAAAAAGAAAAATCTAATACTATAGTATTTTGAAATATTCTTTTTTCTATTTAAAATCAAACATGATGAAACTTATTTAACGTATTCTCACCGATTAGCCAACCATTCTGTGCGCATTTCTGCCGTTCTCACAGCAAACATTGCGTAAGTAAGTTCCTGTTCTAGCTGCTTTCTTCCGATGCCAGTGCATCTCGCTCTAGCTTGGCAAGCGCCGTAGCTAGCTATACTTGTATCTGCGCCCGCTCGCCAGTCCACGAGAGGATCATAGACGAATGCTTCCAGCAAGGTCAAAAGAGTCTCGCGGCCTCTACGCATCACTCTCAGAGTATTCTCACAAGCAAACCTAAATATACCCTACACATACAATTAACCATTATATATAAATACTTTTTGTAGTCAAGAGAATATATGTAATTATCATCAGCCATTTATAATTATACATTTCTTTTTCTCAGCGACACTCATCGATTAATTTCAATTGAATCGAGTTGCACTGATAACGACTGATAGTTATAACAATCCTTCGTCACACTGGGGAATCGTCACCAAGGAAATCGCCAGGTGAACAGATAAGTAAAGCCACTTCCAAACGAAAAATCAGTGCGTGTTATATTATTCCGCAATGATTTACAGTGTCTACACTCACATCACAAAAGGTATTACAATTATTTACGATGTTATTAAAGGAAGAACTTATTTTTATAAAAAGAGTTTTTATGTTTTTTTACAACATGCCAAAACAAAAGTTAGACACAAGTTTTATCTTATGTACAAAAGTTTAATTCTGAATGCTTCTTGTAGATTTATCATAATCGTGATATGTGATCCAATATGTACTTTGGCGTTTTACAGAACATCCATCTAAAACCTGTTTTTTTGCATTTGTGTGTGTGTGTGTGTGTGTGTGTGTGTGTGTGTGTGTGTGAAAGGTAAGTAACTAAAAGAGTTTGCATTACATGATTTTAGTCGCATTAGTTAATCGATCGTCATTCGTTTTACATATCATTCTGGTCTGATACGTTTTTAGAGCAACAATTGCTTTCATGATTTATTGCGGTAAGTTTTGCATACCAACAACCGAAAGTTCCGTAAAAAAAAGACAATTTACATAGAAATCAAAATACATCTGATGAATATCTACATAAAATGCTATAAAAATATATTCAATCGATTTTTGGTAAACAGATAGATAGTCATCTGCATATAATTTCCACATTTATATATAGCTACTTTTACTTTTTTTAAAATATATTATGACTCTTATTTTTAATTTGACAATATACTTTTTTGATAGCAATAAAACTCTATTCTGTAAAACAGGAAATCTTCTATAGTTTACCTATAATTATATATATAGGTAATATAATTATATACATATATACATATGTGTGTATACGTAGAATATATATAATATAATGTAAGAACATATTATTCAAACAATATTTTTTCAGACTAATAATGTAAAATTATACAATTACGATATGTTTTAAATATTCAAAATTCCTCCTTAATAGGCGATTTTTGGCGATCGTATGGTACATATACTAAAGTGTACCAAACTATAGTTCGAGTGACTTCAAATTATAGTTTGGTACACTTTGGTATATGTACAGTAGGGAGCACCATATCGTGCGGCTCCAAGGGAAATATTTTTCGGAAATTTCTCCTTTGGATGCTTTATACTATCGCACCCCGTTCTTCTTCGGTCTCCGCCAACGGTCCGAGATCGAAGGAGAAAAGCGCGCAGTAATAGGAGCAGCTAAAGAAGAAGTTTCCGAGAAATACTTCCCCTGGAGCCGCACGATATGGTGCTCCCTACTGTACCATACGATCGCCAAAAATCGCCTAATGTATCAAAAGCAAACGTACATATAAGCACGTACACGCATATTATAAATTTTTCATGTACTATATACTTTTTATTTTAATATTATTTACAAAGTGAAACATTTTTGCAATACACCGCGAAAGCTTCAAATTTCATAAGAGATATAATGCTGAAATGTTTTATCTATGATTTTTATGAAATTTTGTGAACTGATTTCAAATTCTACTACACACAACGAGATAAAAATGTGATTTTAAATTGATACGTTACAACAATTTTACAAATTATAGATTTGATGAAAAGGAGCATACAGTTGCAAAGTGTCTGCATGAGTGTCTGACTTTAATTTTCATCATGAATTTATTTAAATATTGCTTGTTTGAGACATTTTTGCAAAATTTTATATAAATTAAATATTTTCAGAGTTACAATTAAAAATAGTTTAAATAAAAAGATAGAGAAATGGTAATAACAAGCTAACACCAGATGTTCGGGTACAATTCTTTTTTAATTCGAAGATTGTCAGTTGCATTCAAAGCGGGAGGACATTTTGTGTCTTACGTAATACTGACTGATACTTTGCTGCCACTTCTGTCTCTCTTTGAATATCTATGTAGCGTTTCTTTTCTTATCCATATTCTTCATGATCTCGAATAGATTATGATTTTTTTTTAATAATTTTATGTAATTTTTCATTAAAATACTGAAAAAGATCCCATAGTGGATCGAAACGTTTGTTAACATTTTTTAAAATCTTCGAATTAAAAAAGAATTGTACCCGAACATCTGGTGTTAGCTTGTTATTGCCATTTCCCTATCTATTTAAATATTCAACGAACTTTAAACATATAATTAAAAATTGTTTACTTTCAGCAGAATGTATCTAAAAAAAAGTAACGTTACTTATGCAAGTGTGAATGTATCATCAAACATACCGGCAGACTTATCAGAAATCGGCAACGACAATGTACAGGATAACCAAGTTATTTGGATCTTCATAGACAGCTTTCTATTTATCGTGATCGTTTTGGGAAATGTTCTCACGATATTAGCCATTGCATGGGCCCGCAGACTTCGAAACATCGTCTCGAATTATTTTATATTCAATTTGGCAATATCGGATTTATTAGTAGGCGTAACATTGCCTTTTCACTTGGCATTTTACGTGGACAGTACGTTGAACCATAACAAGTTATTTTGCATCTCTCGTTTTGTGATCATCAGTTTAGCATGCGGCGGAAGTATATACAATCTTATAGTGATCGCTATAGACCGATATGTTGCAATAGTGTATCCTTTGAACTACAGTTCGTATATAACAAGAAAACGCGTGTTGCTAATTATTACCATTGCTTGGATTTGTATTATGGGTGTATCATCAATTCCAATATATTGGAATTGTTTTGATGCTTCACGATCATGCGAATTGGAAACGGTATTACCAAGGTACTACTACAATACTAATTAATCATATCTTTTAAAAGTTAGTCTATAATACTAATATCAATACGATATTCCATTATTTCGAAATACTATTTTGTAAAATTGTATGTTATTATAATTGTTATAATTGTTTTACTTAACTGATATCGATTTACAAGTAAAAGAGAGAAGCAAGAAAAGAGAAGCATTTTTATAAAACAAATTACTTACTGTGAAAAATAATAAAAAGTGTTACTTGATACATAGATACTACATAGTGGCTATACAGATGCCGTCGTTTTTTCTCAGTTCGATAGCAATGTTTTTGCTATATTGGAAAATTTTGAGAGAAGCGCACATGCATACGCGCCGAATGAACCTAAGTGCTGTTCCAAACATCGCTGAGAAAAATGATCGCAAAGGCGTACAGGTATGATATATTTTAACTATCATAACATTGCAAAAGATATGATAATATAACATTTGTACTAATTTAACACGATCTAAAAAATAATAAACGTTAAAAACTCTTGCAGGTGGTAATGTTGATATTGGGCTGCTTTTCGATTTGTTGGTTTCCCTATTTTGTTGTAGCTTGTATGCGAACCTTTGGTTGGAAAACGAACTCAATGATTATATGCTATAAATCCACGTTTGCATTAGCAATTGCCAACAGCGGAATGAATCCCTTTATATATGCTTGGAAAAACGCTAGCTTTCGCAAAGCTTTCCAAAACATCTTACACTTTAAATCGCCGAATAATGATTTAAACTCAAGCTTTAAGATGTACTTACAAAAGCAACGAGAGCTAAAGCTCCAACAAACAAATATAGAAAATAGTCAACATATAAATGTCAACAACAGTATACGCGGAAGACTATCTGATCATCGATTTGGTCGAACAAAAAAGGATAAAGTAGAAACAACTTTATAGATTTATAGATTTATGTTGAATTAAAACATAAAAATCTTTCTTTTATCTTTCTTTTTTTATAATTAAATTTACTCATTTATAGTTGTGTGTACGGTAGAACATCCCAAAACGTATACATTCTCAAAAATCTATTCTCAAAACGTATATTTTCCCCTTCATCGCTTTTCCCACCACTAAGTATGATTACAACCGAAACGTCCGAAACTGCGCTAGCGCGAGATGAATTTATATCAAATAAGTCTTTGTGCATGCGTGAGGTAAAGAGTGAGAGAATAGGAGAAATATACGTTTTGGGAAGTTTGTTGGTCCCGACTGTATGTTTTGGGAAGTTCTACTATCTAAATTCTTCCTCTCCTTTTATCTAAATTCTTTCTCTTCCTTTGAAAAAAACGAATGGATAAAAAACGGATGTTAAAAAGTGGTCGATTTTTGCTCCCGATATGGCAAGTAAAATTCGAGTGATTTTTGCTCGTCGGTCCCGACTGTATACGTTTTGGGAGGTTCAACTGTATTTAGTTTTTCCATAACATGCAGAGAAAAATCCGGAGGGCAAAAATCGATCACTTTTAACATCCTTCTTTGAAGGATTGTGCGCTTCTTTGAAAGATAAATATGCAAAAAATGCATATTTTTCTACTTTTTCTTAATTTTTCCTGCATGTTATGGAAAAACTAAATATACCATGTGATTCTACGACCAAAAATCTATAAAAAATTACTCAAATTTTACTTGCCACGCCGGAGGCAAAAATCGACCACTTTTTAACATCTTTCTTTATGTAGCTAAACTATGCGCGATTTTTAATTCATGATGTATAATTCGTAAAAAATGATTAGAAATTTGCAAAACTTTTTTTTTTTTTTTGTTGTTCACGTATATAAACCTTTTAGAGTATTCGGAATTCGCAATTATTCGTAATTTGTTATTCATTATTTGTAAATTGTAATTAATCGGTTTTTTAACACAATTTAATAACTATATATGTTTAATACTATATTTTAATAAGTAATAGCATAGCGCGACACGAATAAATCGATTTGTAGTGCGTCCTTTGAATTTCGTAAAAAAATTACTCGGCTAAAGAATTAGTACAAATAATCAATCGATGATCAATCGATGAATTTTGCCTCTACAGTATATTCACGAATTTTCTACAAATTACGAATCGCGAATTGTAAATACGCGCATAATCTGGCGCTAGCTTTTAAAAATATCACGACAAAAAACAAAACTTGTATAAAATTTATAAATATGATCACTTTGAAATTTTTAGAGGTGTCTCAGATAGTGTGTTGTAATCAAATTTTCTCAGATTAATTCTTCCACTACTCGATGATTCTCGCAAACGATTTAATGTTGCTTTCACTCGGAAATTGGAAACAATGTTTTCTTACACATAATTTGATTCTCACAAATCTTATTGTCTGTTTGCTCAAGAAAAAATTGCATTGCCTGATAATGACTCACAAGGTCAATATCTTCCATCTTCGATTTTATAATATTAAAAGCGAGGAAAATCGTCAGTTTTATGCACTTTAACTAAAAATAAACAATTTTTGAAATATTTCTGTACAAACACACATATTACAGATATAACAAATAATTTTGGTATGTATACACAATTCTGTATGTATAGTATTTCTATACAACCCACGTAGAATCGAATCAGTATTGTAGATGTGTAGAAAAAATACACCATACAGGTTTTTCTTTTATTCAACACAAAACCATATCAGCAAAATTAAGAGGCTGCTGAACCGTTTTGTTTTACCGGCATTTATTATTTCACTATTTTTGTCGTATTTATTGCACAAATTGGAAAATGGTTCTCCAGAATAAAAAAAAATATGCTAAAGAAGTGAAAAGTTTAAATACATTCACGAAAAACACAGTTTATGGACTGTTACAACATAGTCCACATTTTTATTTCGTACACAAAATTAGCAATGTGAATTCAAAAGAAGACTGTACTTTCCACTTTTAGAGATATAGGCAAATATTTTGAAGCTTTAAAAAATGCATATTTACTGTTACAACATAATCCACATTTTCATGCAGACAGCAGAGTATTAAAGCGGGGTATTCCTACCGCCTGGATGCTCTCGTACGCATACAAGCGAGAACCGCAAACGGATGCTGTTTTCGCTTGTATACGTACGAGAGCATCGAGACGATGGGGGTACTCCGATTCGATACTCTCGATATTGTCCGGCACGATCTGACATCTCTAGTGCAATTGTAACAGAAGTGCTGGAGAGACATACATCTATCTTTATCTCGGTCCAACTAGAAGGCGCTACCTACTGGACAGCATAACGAATCAGAGTTCGGTCGTCGGTTTAGAATCCTCTTAATACTCTTTTATTTTCAAAAAGTGCACGAAACTTTGACAATATTCCTTACTTATGATATTATAAAATCCAAGATCGCGAGATATAACGAGATATATATATATATATTGATATATTGTTTCTTTATCAAAAAACTAACGTAACAGTAACGTAAATCACTTGTTATTAAGAATTTTTCGAATATCAAGAAACCTACCTCGACACCAGTTACTCCTAAAGCTGCTTTAATGTTTGGTGTCATGCGGAACGGCACTTTTTCAGGAACACGCAAGGTTTTTCCTTTTTCGAAGCAAACGTTGTAATCGATGTGCACAACTTCGCCAGTATTGAGATCAACAAGAACGTTATCCAAGTGTCTATCACCTAAGCCTATGATATAGCCGATAATGGACATTACTGCAACGGAACGTGAATAGTTTTTGGTAGCTTGCCACCAGCTGCCAGCATTGATACTATTGCACCAGATTTCTCTGCAACGTACGTTAAAAAAAAAGAATAAATATTATAAAATTTGACAGAAAATGCATGTTTTGATAATTAAAACTAACTTAGCTAATAAATCCTTCGGTGTCTCATTCATTAGCTCAGCTAACACTTGCTTCAACACTTGGATAGGCCATTCTTTTCGGTTTTCCAAGCTAATCCCGCGCTCCTTCAATAACGGTGTTAGTTTATTGTAGAACAATTCCGATGGTCGCATTATCGTATTATTACCGCCGCCGCTCTTGTTATTCATGACGCATTCACGTTGCTGCCATCGTTTATATAATATAAACAAAGGTGTGACGCCGTCAACCCACTGAATGAGACCAGATCTAGGACCCAGTGGAATCACCGAATAGTGCCGCGCCCTGTAGGTCTTCGTATCACTGTTTTTCGACATCATAGTATTACATATACTCAAGAATTGCATTATTCTCTCGTCCAGATGTAAATCTTCTAATCCTTTGAACAAGTATGTATAAACGTGGCCATCGGAACCGTGAAATATCAGTTTCTTCGGTTTCGTCTTTGTTGGTAGAATTTGAACGTTGTTATCTACTGACATAATAGTAACGATCTTTTTATCGACTGCAGCGACGCCTGGCATGGCGATGCAGGTGTCTTTCAGATTGGCTAAAATAGGACTGATATCTGTCATTGATAAAGAATAAGCAGCTCGTCGATGTACACGTTGCGCCAACTTGCCTTCGAGATGTTTTAAGGCCAAACTAGCGATCTGAGGCTTTGCCGGATTTTTAGGATTATTGAGTCTATTTATCACTTCTTCTATAGATGCACCAAACTTTTCCTGAAAATTTTTCTCATGCGGTGTTTCAGCAGATACGGACGTCATTGATAAAAGATTTTCTAATATGAACGTAATCGGTTTCAAAATAATTCTGTATTTCTCTGCTATCAGTTTATCTTTTTCTTCAGATGTAAGCCAGACATTATCCTGCACACGCTGTATCTCGATCTCTAATTGTTCAAATCGTTTAATAAATTCCGTGTGATGCTGGCATAATGTTGCTAGCCATAATTCGTCCCACAGCAAAGTAATTCGTCTCAGTTCTTTCACTAATATCTTCACTTGAACTATAGAGTCCTGGATACGACTCGACAGACAATCGACCAATTGTGAGAAACAAGAATCCATGAATTTTTCACTTTCGTCTGTGTTTGCAGTAGCTTCTTCCTCGACAACGTTTAAGTCCAAATTGTTTTGCGAACTGTCGTTCTCATTAGGTTTTTCATAAATAACTTTATCATAGGTTTTCCTCTGGCCAGAGACCGCGCCCACTACAGCTGGAAATGTAATCAAATGCGGCGAATTCTCCGCTACTCGACACAACAACTCGGACACCTGAGTCCTTACGTACGCCTCAGGATGACTCAGCCTGGAGAACAATTGTGGTATAATCTCTTTCCAAGGTGCGGTTGGGGTTGTCGAGAGACCAGCCTCGAGTACGTTTTGTAGTTCAAGAGCATGCTTCACTACAAGTCGTAACAGTCTCAATGTTGCTGTAATAGTATCACATTCATTGCTTTCATTATTCGCTAACTGCAAGTATTTGAAATATGCATTTGCCGAGAGTTCATAATATGAATAGATTCTTTTTTGTGCCTGCCGCCAGATATCGACTAACATATTGAGATGCTCGTTGCTAGCGTGAGACAGAATCGGCAAATTCCTCAGCTGATTTTCTATCATATCGGACGTGTTTACGTCGGTTGTATCTATGTCGCCTTCGTCTTCAGGTATAGTTTTATTTTGGCTCAATATAGAAAAAATGGTGTTAAGATCAGCTTCAGCTATGTCCAGTGGCAGTAGAGACTTTATATTTAATCGATCAGTATCCGTCAATTGACCGGAGTTAGAATTGTCAACTATCTTTCGGCCCCACTTGTAACACCAAGCAGCAAAACTGGACCAGGCAAGCGGTAGATCTGGACACTGATTTACGCCGAGTTGCATCAGTTTGCCAATTATCATGTCTGACGTCGGAATCAAATCGATCGTGTCGCCGAACAATTTATTCATTAGGCCATCGTTGTGCACGGCTTCGAATCTGAGTAATTCTTCCAGCTGAGGATAGTCATTTACGTTTATGTCCTGCTGTATCCATTTGCCTAGAGTAAGAAGGAGCTTGGTACCAGTTTCTCGTAAATCAGCAGACTGTTCGCCACTGACGATCGCCTGCGAAATTCCCAACGAGGTTACGCAACACATCTTTAACGCCTCACTCGTGTTCTCCATGTTGTACAGCAATTTAGAAAATTCTCTGAACGCACGCATGCTGTTCTTGGTCCATTTCACATGAAATGAACCGTTTAATAAGCTATTCGTGATCTCGGAAAAATTGCAAACAGCCAGATTTTGTAGTTGAATTAAGTTCCTCTCCGATTTGAAATATTTGACTATTTCTCGTTTTGCCAAATTGAAATTGTTCTCTTTCCTAGCTGTTCTGATGACATCCAATCGTAAATTATCCACTTCCTGGATAGTGCTATTGTCACATGCTTGGTCAAAATACTCGGACCACCACAAGATTTGTGTCAAGATGTTCGAGTTTATGCAGTTGATTTTATCAATCTTATACAACTCGAAAACATTTTTCTCAGTAGTTTTGCCACGTAATAAATTCTTCAGACATGTTGCCGAATATTGAAGCAATATAGCATCGTTAAGATATTCCGATGGCATATTTCGTAAACCATCTTGCATTGTCTTAGCCGCAACCTTTTGGCACTTTTCAATATCGCTTTCAAATGTGTTCTTAAAGTCGTTCACGCGTATCTTCAGCGCAATATTCGTCAAAGTGTTGCTGCACTCGCATAATGTTTTTGCACAACTCCAATTACTCTGTTTCTCCGCGTCTAGTAAATTCCAATTTGTCAGCCCATCCAATGACAACAGTTCACCTTCTTCAAATTTTTTCAAACAATCTGCCTGTTGCGGTACAATATTCTCCGTAATTAGTTTTCTTAAAGCAGTGTTTCTATCTTCCGCCAACATATCGGTCTCTTGTAATTTCCAGCTTAATAATCCGGACCAGTCACTGACTGCTTTGTAACAGTAAGAAAGTCGCTGCATACAAAAGCTCAAAACTTGGTTATCACTTTCGAGTTTCGTAGTTGTAATGCTTTTATCGTCATTTTTTGTCTTAACTTGTTCATCGATAATCTGCTTGTAGGTTTCTGCTGCTGCTTCGTAGTGTCCGGCAGTTTCTTCCATTGCTGCTTTTAGCCATGGGAATTTTCTATCCTTCTCTTTAGTATACACGTAAAGGCCCTGCAATGCCTCCATTTCGCCCAGTGCAACCATCGCCTGCGCCGTTCCCAAAGTCGCTCTTTCGAACTCTACACCTTGCGTGTTATCAGCGTTGCTCAAATCCTCCAGCAGTTTTTGACCGTTACGCAGTGCACTTGTTGCCAGGCCCGAATGTAGCGACACCACACATAAGGCCAATCGTATGCGATTCAACCATTCTTTGCACGTTAATTTGTTTGTATGAAAAAATGTTCTAACTGGTTTTGATAGCGGCAAGAGTGCCATTGCACAACCATCCGATGCATTATGAATTACTTTCTCCAGGTGTTCCAGGAATTCTATGAAAAGCCTCACTCGCGTGTGTTCATGCAGAATATGTTTCAAATCTTGTTTTTCTTTCTTTACCACATCCATGCAATACGATATCTCGCGAGCCAAAATCTTCAAGGCACTTTCAATTGATGTAAACGTCTCCTGAGGTTTCCCTAGAGAAGTGCGAAGCTTGTTAAGCACACAGTGTTGCGCTGCTTCAAAACCATTCCAAAAGTAAAGGAACGAACAATTTGCCTGTGCTAAGTCGTACATTCTTGCCGCGGTTTCGCTGTCCGATCTGTATATAACAAAAAAAAAAATAAAAAAATTGTGTTTTATTGTGTAATAATCATTATTATTATTACATTTTGAAAGAAATTATTTCATACACGAATAGGTATACTTACACAGCTGGCCAGCACAAAGTGAAGATTTCCGCCAAACTAGGCGCATCGAGATAATGCTCTTGTAATAAAAACGCCATGTACGTTTTAAAATGCTGCGCCAACAATTCTCCATTGTTATTACTCCGCATGTGCAATCTTTGAGCGAGTATCAATGATTCCGTCGAATACATTTGAATTTCTCGCATTTTCTACGACATTGAAAACAACATTTAGAAAATTTATACATCGAAAGAGATGTGCACTCAAAAAAAATACTTACTTTGGTGTCTGAAAACAAATGTTCTATGTTTAATTTTGGTATAACAATATTAATGGGAATTAAAATGAGCAACAAGCCATACTTCTTGCGGACCGTCTTATTGCATGATGTTAAATGTAACGTCGCTAGATCTACAATATTCGAATAAACCTCTTGTTTCCATATTACATTCTTTGCTGTCATTAAGATTTCAAAAAGATCGCATACTGCGCTTGCAATACGATTGTTGGTCGTAGCTCCACAATTAATTAAACTTGTAATAATACTTTGGCACTCTTGCGTTTTGCTTAAAATCCCAATGTACTTTTCTGACTGTGCGCAAATCTCTTGCATCCAGCTGGATAAAAGAAGTAGAGTTTGCACAGGTGTACTTTTATTGTACATTTTCGCTATCAGATTGAGAATTATAGATAAATGACCGCTAGTTGGTGATGTGGTTGGTACATCTAAAGTTCCAGGAAACATGTCTATCGGACGGCAGGTAATAGTGCCTGTTATCAAGCTTGAGCTTGGAACAAAATGATTATATCTGAAAAGAATTAATTAAGATAAAAATGTAAATTTATTATCTTACTTAACTAAGGAGAATTTAAGGAATCTTACGTTACCTAGAGCAGTGTGCATAGAGTAGATATAGAATGCTATATTGTAAGAAAGGGTTATTTAAAGAAAGTGAACTATCATACGGTTTCAATTTTACTGCAAGGAGTTCTAGGATACTGGGTTTTAAAGCCCACATTCCGATAATCGAATTGCTCGCGTTCGCTACAAAGAAATATAATTATCAAGTGTGTTAACTATATACACTTATTGTATGTAATATTTATATTTTACACAAATTAGATTGGAATTACATCTAGAGATTTATATATTTTATTCACCTATATCCGAGAGCGCACGTAGTATGAATGTAACTACAATCTCAACATCGTTTTCCACATATCTCAAGTTATTTAATGGATTATCGGCAACTAAACTATCTATATCAGGTAATATGAGCTTGTAAGCAATCTCCAAGTCTGCTAGTATATAGCGATAAGACTCTTGTAATAACGGAATATTCTTCAAACTAAGGAGACTGTGATACACTCCTAGACTCGCATTTTGAATGAGAACGGAATCTCGAAATCTTAATTTCAGCAGTGCTGAGTTTTGGCCGAGCAATTTATGCACCAATTCCAGAGGCAAATTTGCAGACACTTCCTTTATTATTTTCGATATGGTGGTCAACATCGAAATAATAGTATCATCCCAGAAAATATTAACTTTCTGCAACTGGAGATCAATAAATTTATAGAGAAACTCGTGATTCTGTGCAAGACGACTCTGAAGATGACCGAGAAGCAAAAAAGTACATTCATTTGCGATTACAATTAATTCTTCTTTCTCTTCTGACAAATCCTCAACATGTTTGATTTTAGGTCCCATTGATTGCAATAAGTTTATCAAAACTTGCTCTTTTTCTTGCAGCAGAGTATCTTTATCAAAAGTTGTTTTAGAATTTTTCTCATTATTCTTTTTACTCATAGTCAATGATTTGATCATCTTAATGAGATTTTCCTCGGCGATCTCATCTTTATTAAAATGTTTAGAGAGAATTTCTATATATTTCTGAGACGTATTTACGTTCTTTATGCATTTTATCAAGGTTTCTGTGTCAATGAATATGATTTCGTCATTCTCTTCTTCGAATTCGATTGCTTTGACAACAGTCTTTAACATTTTCGATAGACAATCTGTTAAAAAAGACCACTGCACGTTTGATGAAAAGTTTGGATTTAAGTTCTCAGATATGCTTTTCATTACTGTGTTAAAAACAGATATTAACGATGTGATGTATAAAATACATTCCTTTGGCGTCACCGATCCTTCGTCTCCGGGTGATGTACGACCTGATTCGGGTAAACTTAATCTCTCATCATAGGTTTCTAAGTCTTCTAAAAATTGGCTCAGTAACGTTAACGTGAACTGCAGATCCGCTACCCAGAAAGAACGCAATTTTTGCAAGCATCGACTAGCAAAAAGAACGATTGATTTTTGCTTTGTGGAATCAATATGCCAACCCACAAGTGTATCCACAGTATCGTGAAAATACTTGGTGGTAAACGTTTCTGGGTAAGAATCTATGATGAGCAATATAGCATCTACAGTTGCTATTAACAAATCTGCTCTATCAACATTTTCCAATATCGATTGTAATTGGGACATCATAGGCTATAACATATTACGATTAATAATCACTGTTGCTCTAACACAAAAATCTAAGTTAGTATTAATTTCTAATGTAGACATTATTTACCACAGAGAATTCTTTTAGTTTAGATATCTCAGAATCCATCTTAAGTGCTTCGACAATTGATTTTATCAATAGACATTTAACATCCTCTTTATATTCCATTGAGTATTTTTTAAAAGTCCAGTTCATAAATCTAAATAAACAAAAGAAAGGTTTTGTATATTTATGATGCTAAATCGTAAACTTTACAAAATATAAAATATTGTTTCTATTACATTACTTTGTCTCACCTATTAAAATCTTGTTCTACAACATATCCAATCCGACCCAAACATTTTGCAACTTGTTGCTTTGCTTCCTGACCAGGACCAGAGTGCAAAATATCCAACAGACTATCGCAGATAGGCTCTAAGTTCCTTCGTATATATCGTTGATTTTCAGATGCGACGATACTTTCTTGTACTTGCTTGCAAAGAACCATAAAAAGATCATAATTATCTTCGCGACATAGTCGCCGTAACAGCTTAGATATTCTCGAGTCCTCTGTAAAAAAAAATAACCGTAAGTTTTTTTAAAGAGAAAAATTATATTTTAATGTGAACAAAAATAATAATACTAATAGACACAACCACTTATTCTTTTATCGTCATAATATTTGCTCTGTGCATTTTCGTGATTTTTCAACGATTCTTGAAACTTGGGTCTAGATGTAGAGTGATAACAAGATTCCGTGTTTGATTCTCGATCATTGAGAGTCTTTTTAAAGGCTCTTCCACGTGTTCCACCTCTGGCACGGTCTGTGGAACTGCCACCACGTGCCATTCGAAATTCATTTCTTGGAAGACCACTGAGCCTATATTTTGTTGTATTATATTTTCATTATTTATTAACTAACATATGGAGTATTATTAATATATGTATTTTGTTTAGAACATAAGAAAAACAACCTTGGTTTAAATCTAGTAAAGTTGTGCTCTGATGAGTAGTTAGAGTTTCGTTGACAAATAACCAGAGTACTGCGTGGTGCATTCAGGTTGTTTACAGTATAATCATTTATCACACTACTATCCTCTGTTTCTATTTCTTCTCCTTGATTTATAGACTCTTTTTGAGTCTCAATGCACTTAGAACCACGTAGCTTGGTGCTAATATTAGAGTTCCCACAGCTATTCATTACATTACTCTGCAAGTGGTCTGCATGACCTACACTTCATAAATGTAACCTGTACTTATCTAGGAAATATTTATCAATACTAAAAAATCTCAGCAAAGAGCACGTTAAAGGACACCTAAATACAAACAAAAAAATTGTTTGTTAGTTATATGTAAATATATTATATAAGTAAAAACATACAGATAACATACTGTTCAATAATATGTAAGTTTGTTTTATTATTATTATGATAACATAAAAAATAAAAAACATTTTTTTTTACTTGTTAAGTATTATATGATAAAATATTGCATACACATATATGTAAATATATATACATACATATATATACATACACAAAATACATATATATTATATACATGTAATATATCAAAATTTAAATACATTTACTTAGTTTAAATACATTTACTTGTGTGTGTGTGTGTGTTCTGTGTATGTATATCATAGAAAACACTAATTTTAATTTTACTTTATTTATTTTTAACTTTCTTTTCCAAACTTTTTAATCCATACATAGGTACTCTTTTCTTATGAAATATGAACTATTTTGTGTCAATATGTTTATTTTATAGAATTAACATTATTATTACTATTGTTTTTATCAGAAAAACTACTTTATACAATACAATTGTATAAAGTACAATACAATTGTAACGAATGAGTACGAATAGAAGTGTGAATGCGTTAAGTTAATTTTATAAATCAAGTTCCTTGGCTTTAGACCTAAAGGCTGAATCAATAAAGATTTATATATATGTAAATATGTATTGTATATATATGTATATAAATTGTAATGTAACTAATTAATATAATTTTAATTGATATATACATACATATGTATATATAATTGTAACTAATGAGTAGTTAATATTACTAGATGTTAATCTATGAAACTTAGGATGCTATAAACATATCTGTGCAACATAAAGTTCTATGTGTATAACATGTCCAAAAATTAAATAAAAGATTAAACCATTTTTAAATTCTTTTTCACAAGTATATTCTAATCAACAAGAAAGCTTTATAAACCAAAGAAAAAAAGATCATTAACAAAATTATATACACTACCTATTACTATCTATTACTATTATATAAACTACTAGAACACTTTGTTCACCAAAAAAATATATAAAAAAGTATAAGAATAAAAGATTTAAAAAACTTTTAAGAAAAAGTATATTGAAGTAAAATAATAAGAATAACAATAAAAGAACTAAACCTAATAAAAGAAAAATTACTAGATTAATAATTTTATTGGAAGATGTATAAAAAAACTTATATAAATATATATAAAATTTAATAAACTTTTGTGTTAAAGTAAGATATCTGTTCAGATAACAAACATATTATTGAAGACTATATATTAGAATATATGCTCGTAAAAAAAGGAAGAATAGACCACTGTTGATAAAATTTCTAGTAAAAATATGAATATAAAAATTCTATTAATAAAAAAAAAATTATGAAAACTGCAAAGACTAATAATGTAGCAAACAACACACTATGTAACAAATTCAAAGAGCATTATTATGTTCTATTCTCTTCACAGGCGCAGTTTTTCTTCCAAACAGCATCTGTTGCTGATATAACGTTACATCCTTTTTCTCCTCACTCTCGAAATATTATTTACAAAATGTTCAAAGATAAAGTTATTTCTTACCGATTCTGAACAGATCTTGTGCAGATAAGCACTTACGTATAGAAGAAAAGATCAATCTTCACTTTCTAGCGCTTCACGAAAATTATACACGTTCGAAAACGCGGAATCTAGAGGTTAGGAGAAGATACATTTGACTTAGGATGCATTTTCACGTGCTACTGAAACTGATTCTTTCAGGGTACGTTCTGTTTCACGCAACCTTTTTAAGCTTGTTCTACATTATGGCTGCGTTCGAAAAGCGCTATCAGCGCTGTTGCATCATTCTATCACTGGTCTAGTTTCCACCGAAACNCTCAATTCGATTTCACTCCGGTACGGATTAAATTTAATGTCTGTTCGTTTTACNTGAACTGGCCGCTCTAGGTCAGAGTTTATCCTTCTTTTTCCAACGTAGAGTAAAGAAGATAAACTCTGACCTAGAGCGGCCAATTCAGGTAAAACGAACAGACATTTAGTGTTTCGTTTCCATTGGAAGTAGAGTACTTATAGATCGAAGCGGAAGCGAAATCAGCGCAATTTGACAGGTTTCCATCGACTTAAATCTGATTCTACGTCGCATTAGGTGTGAATTAATGCTTCAGTGGAAACTAGACCACTGTCGCCTGTGTACAGACGGCGTCATTAATTCGAAGAATAGGCGCGGGAATCGGAGGGCAAGCGGGGCGGTTGCTCGTAGCGCCAACGGGCGTCGTACTAACTAACTAGTAGCAATCGGGTGTCCACAACTGGACACCCGATTTTGGGACTAATGGATATTTGGATCAACTGGACTTTTTATGTGATCCCCGCGCCTATTCTTTGAATTAATGACGCCGTCTGTACGTAGTTGGAAAGCACCCATAAGCTGCTTTCCTTTTAGGAGACACAGGTCTAGTTTCCACCGAAACATTGGGAGTGTTTTGCCGAAGTTAGCGCTACGTAGCGCTACGTAGCGGCTTCATGTAGCAGTTGCAA